ACACAAGTATTGCATTTAGTACACTTGTATTATGTTCATCGATCGTGCTTTCTACATTTGCATTTACATATCATAAATTTGCTTTTGGCGGATTATATTCTGTGTATCGGTATTACCGCAGATTATATATTTATATCGCGATCGATAAACATTGTACAGGGTATTTGTATCGTAACAGATTGTATGTAAATCAAACTTTCTATGTTTTACATATAAAGATGTTTATACACGTCTATATAAAAATGTTAGAAACTATCTCAGAAATTTAGTTTTCATTATAAAGTTGCTACTCTATTCTTGTTTCTCTTTTATTTATTTTATTTATATATTGATGCATATTAAAAATGCATAACAAATTATATAACAAATTTCCGAGCACTAAAATGCAAGTTACTTTGTCTTGCGCAGTTCTCTTTCTTTCGCGATTTTATCTTTCCGAATCAGAAACCCCTTTTCAATAATTTTAGTATCTATGAAGTTGATCTTTTCTAGTTCATATAAACAGCTTATGCGTTTTATCGTGGTTTTATGTAGAAATAATTTTGGTCGGCATTCTACGTCGTTCTTGAAGATTCATAAAGGCGCTCTGTGTAAACGATTCAGCATTTTGCTGCATTAATAAATTCGTTGGATATTATTAGAAGAATATGCCTTGAATATTTGTGGACGTTTACGCGCCACGGGAGAAATGAGAGATGCAAATAGCTTTATCGTAAATTTCATTTTTATTTAAATTCCAATAATCTTGTTTTCTTTTTTAAACGAAAATAACGATTTATTTCGCGTTTAATTGGACATTTTGGTTTTATATAGAAATTAGCTATGAGAGATTTTGTTTTTATGCAATTACAAAAAGTTAAAAATTTATGTGATACGAATTACATTACTGTTATTATTATTTTTTTAAAGACAAAAAAATAGAGAATTAATTTAAATTAATTTATTTATACGTTGAATAATTAATAATTAAATATGTAAGATACGCTTAAAATTAATTAATTTTTGATAAAACTAACTATTAAACAATGAAAGAAATTATAATAAAAACAATTAAATCATATTCCACATTTTTACCTGTTATATTTACATGTCATACATATCATACATACTTACATATCATACATGAATTTCTCAATCGAAGAACGGTACTATAGAAAAATTGAATAGTTGTTATAAGTAATAATTCATAAAAATTAGTTATATATATATACATTAAAAATACGTAAAAAATTTTGAATATTTCTGGAAAAAAAGTTGGTTTTTTATTTTTAAAATACGAAAGAATAAAATTATACTGTTATTCTGTGTGTGATAATTTACGAGTACTATATATTAATTACTAATGTACTGATTCTTTCGTCTGCTTTCTTACAAAAAATTCAAATTGTTTTTCTTATTGCTCTAAACTTGGATGCGTGTCTGGCCTCTATATTCTAACACACTATTTTACAAGCATTCATTTGATACACACGCCAGATCTGGTGACAAGTTACGATTTAGAACACTTACGCGTGCGTGTATGCAAGGCGCAACTGCACTACGACGCAGCGTGGAGCCTCGCGATGGTGGAATTATCAGGGCTTGTCGCGAGTAGAGTAGAAATTATTGGGTCGGACGCCTTTCACGATTTCACGACGGATTAAGGGTCGCACGTGTGGCGATATGTCGCGAAAAGGTCGATCTGCGCGTCTTAAATTTGTTGAGAATGTACTGCATTGCGGTTCGAGCAAGAGTTCGAGTGCATTTGTCGGTGGAGGCAAGAATTTTTAAATCTTTTGAGAGAATACGTATTCAGCGGGTGTTTTATGATATTTAAATTATAAGGAAATATATTCTGCTATGTATATTTATATGAATGTATCTATGAATAGTATACTTCTAATATTTTTTTGTTACTCTTTAGAATTTTTTCTTAAATTGAAATAATAACTCAGTATTATATAAATATATGAATTTATTTTCACGTAAAACATGTATTTCGAAGAACAATAAATAACGCCAACAAATACTCAGGAATCTGCATGTTAGCAGTGATAGTTAAATATTGATAAAAATATAAAAATATCTATTGAATATCTATATTGTGCAAATCTTGATGTGCCACGTGTAGGATATTTTTAAATATTTTTAGCTCGTGGTTCTAAGAAAGTATGTATGAAAATGGCATATAGCTGAGAATAAGATATGACGTATAACGTATATATAATATTCAATATTTTAATGATCTATTTAAATTTCTTTAAGGACTATTAACAACGATATGTAATATATAGATTATGTTAAAATTATAAAATTAAATATAGAGTATTAAATTATATTAATTGCGTATATTACATATGTATATGTTATGGTTCAATTCTTAATGAATATATCAATTTACATATTAAACATACATTTTATATTTAATGACGCACACGTTTTGTCAAACTTAAAATATAAAATATTAAAAAGTTAATTTTTTAATATGCAGGTTAATTAATAAAATTACTGCTGTTTGTTGAAACAAAATGTGATTATATTAGAAAATAATTTCTATTACTTTTGGTGTTTAATAAATTTCCAAAATGTTATACTTTTGCTCTTTAAAAAAATTTTAAAACATCTTTAAATTAAGTTTTTAAATGTCTCATGATTTCTTAAATATTCTTAAATTCCTAAAGTCAGGTATAGATTTACCGAAAATTTGTAAAAAATTATAATTAAATATCTAGATAAATTTTAGATTTTATTGGATAGATATAACAAGACAGCAATAAATCGTACAGTAATTGACTACGTTTCATTTTATCTTCTTCCAATAGATCGTTATCTTGGCACATTCACGCCACTAATTGCAAAATCGATTTACCATTACGGCTATGCCGTGCAATTACTAATAGTATAATTAAACACGGATAAGACCGATCTGCTGTTATTAATCACGAAAGACGTAGCGTAGAAAGTCACGTTGGTGTGTTAAGTGCAACAGAATAGCCAAACGATTATTGCGATAAAGTTCTGTGATAACGTTTGAAAGGATCATGCTGCCAGGATGAACTGTAAACTCGACTTAGAAATAATGTAAAGTATGACAACTGCTTGATGTAATTGTTACGCTGCGATATGACGACTATTTAATTTACAATTTGCGCTTCTAAGACTTATAACGCACTTCGCATGCGGCTGTTATAAGGATCTCTCGCGACTCTTCTACAATATCTTGCAAAGACTGATATTCTGCAGAGAATTTCTGTTTTTAAAAGGATACAATATATTAATTCTAGATCAATCTGACTATTCTTATATAAGATAAGAGATTACAGTAATTATTTTGTTTTATATATTACGAATATAATTTTAATATTAAGACATTACAATTTTTGAAACGAAAAATATAAGCATGATAATTTATAATCATGTAAAAGTTATGATTATATTTTAAGCAAAAATTTATATATCGCATGTGATTTTTATATTTTTATGAAAACTTGTATAAATCTTTACACATCGCACGTCTTCCTCAAATATATTATCTTACGTTTAAATTACCCCATTTAAATTTTGGGGAAAACAGGATTTTAAGCACATTATTCTGCGAAACGAGTTTGGTAATTTTTTAATTTCTAACTCTTTAAATTATAACTGTTAAAAAATGCATACACACATACATGTGTCATTTTTTATATTGCTTTTTAAAAATGAAATGTCAATACACAACGTTGCTATATAAAATACATACATATATATACATATATATAATTATATTTTTATCTTTAAGATTTTTTCAGAAAAAGGAAATATATAAAATGTATGTTGGCAATTGTTATTAGTCTGCAAATTAAATCTCTATAAAAATAGTAATTAGTTCTGTTAAAATTAATAATTGTAAACAAAGAAGAGCTATAAGAGCTATTAAACATAATACAGTTGTCAGATGATATTAATAAAATTCATAAATATTTATTATATCGTTTAAATGAATTTTATTAATATCATCTGACAACTGTATTATGTTTAATAGCTCTTATAGCCCTTCTTTGTTTACAATTATTAAATCTATATGTTATTTTCCAAGCAGAAGAATAATTCTGCTTATAGTAAGTTTAATTGCGCGTTTGAATTAATTTGAATAATACATGTGCATATATCAAACAAGCAAACCAAACAAACATGCCGTGTTACCACGCAAAACGTCTTGGTTCGTCTCTGTGCATTATTTGCTTTCCTTCTTCATGTTTTACATGTAATGGAATGTTTGAATTGTTCTTGTTATTATTGTCGTAAGTGTTGTTGTTATCCCTCTTATTGTACTGTGCCATTATTTGCTTCGTATCCTGATTTTCTCTCGACTGATTTCCGCTCGTTATATCTCTCTCTCATTCGTCGCATGTTTTCTCTTAATGCACGCGTGATTCTTTCTTCGTCTCACTCCCTACATCCTCATCTTTCGATCTCTCTTCGTTCTCTTCCGTCTCTTTGAAACGGAAGTCACCCAAAACTTTGCTCCCGAACCCCTCGTCCTCGGGAGATTTGTACGCATCTTGCGAGTTCGAGGATCGTTCAAAGTCGATCATCAGTTCATTTCAATCGCCAAAGATCCTTGATTCTCAAAATCGCAATGCAATTTTCACGCGATCGACATTTCAGTTCAATTATAGCATCAAGAATCATTTCTTTCCCAAGGAGGACGAGGAGTGAAGAGAAAAAGAGAGAGAGAGAGAGAAAGAGAGAGAAAGAAAGAGAGAGAAAGGGGTAGACGTAATGTACGTACTTGCTTAGTCTGGATCTAGTGATTAGAAGCTAGAGAACGATTGAGAGCTAGAGTAAAAACGGGAAAAATGCAAGTGTGAGAGCGAGAAGGTGTGAGAGAAAATAAGTGAGAGAAAGTGAGAAAGAGAGAGAGAGAGAGAGGAAACTAGAGAGAAAGAGATGGAGCGTGAGAAATGGCAATGAGAAATAGCAAGAGGAAAATGCGACAGTGGGAGAAAATTCAAACATGTTCGAAATACCACTTGTTCCAGGACCTAAAGAAGCGCGATTCGCACATCTGCGACATGCAGGCCCTACAGCCACTTCCGGCCCCCACCAACACCGCCAACACCGCGCCCGTCATGACTACTTCCGGTGGGCAACCACCGCTCCCGGTATCGGAGACCGTTTGAATCGCGACGATCACGAGAACCGATCACGATCGTCTGTGATAATGCGCTAATCATGCATTATCGCGCCACCAATCACCTATAAACTGACCGCCGTCCTCCTCCACACCTGTGCTCGCTGAACCTGATGAACGAACCACGGTCGACTACGGTCGAAGCAACGGTGAGCCATCAATCACGATCTTTCAAGGACGCAGCGCGAACCACCGGAAGTAGTCGTGGATCTTGTTAACCCGCATTTTACTGCGCATTATTATTTCGCATGTTCTTTTATCGAAGTTCCATATCGCGTGCCACTGTTTATTCAAAACTCGCATTTGCTCTCTAATTTTTTTTTATCTAAAGTTTATTTAAACTTTTTTTTTTTTTTTTTTTTGGTAAATTGATCATTCAAATTAAAAACTTTGACGTCAAGAATTAAATATAAAATAGGTACGTTAAAGAAGTAAACTGAACCTTTTGTGATGAGAAATAAAATAAATTTGGGTGTATTTTTACACGTAAAATATATGTATGATATTTATAACAAAATGTTATATATATATAGATATATGTATATAACAAAAATAATTTTTAATTAAATTAGAAGTATCCAGTTTTATTATTTTAGTTTAATTATTTTGGAAAAAGTATGAAAGCGTTTATTTTATAAATAACTTCCGAGGAAGAGAGAGAGAGAGAGAGTGAGAAAGAGAAAGAGAGAGAGAGAGAGAGAGAGAGAGAGAGAGAGAGAGAGAGAGAGACACAAGAGAGAAAGAGAGGGAGAAAGAGAGAAAGATTTGCCGCTTTCATTGCTAATATATAGAAGCTTCAGACATATCGATTTGTTTCGAATATACTCTCGGGCTATGGTGCTTACAAGCACAAACTCGCTAAATTACGTGCATCGCGATTGCAAGTATATCGTTGAATTCACGCGCCATTAATTTTGTTTACAAAATTTACTCGCATTTACTTCCGGCGATTCGCACTACTACCTTCAAGTATGGATCGATTTCTATTTATTGAAAAACTTGGTATGATGATTGAGATATAAATGAAGTCATTTATTCAGTCTTATTGTGTTGAAATTGGAATTGATTTATTCATTTAAAAAATGATGATGTTGTTCTTTTATGCTAAACGAATAACTTCTTCATATTTTTAAATTATTCTTTGTTATGTAATTTTGACATTATAATTATAATATAATAAATAATTTAGAAGTATCTTAAATTTAACAATATAAATATTGAAATATTTTTTTATAATTTATAGCGTATAAATTTGTGTATAAATTTGCTTCTCGTAAAGAGTTCCTATTTTTAAGACACTTCGTTGCACTTGGGAAAAAGCAGCTTTTTTCCTTCCTTTTTTTTTTATTACGAGATCATACCGAAAAGTAAACCAATCGAATCTTTCGAAGGTGAATTGACGATCGGGACTAGTGAAGAGGAAAGGTGATTTATGATCGGTCGGCGAGCGTAAGACAATTTTCCGAGATTACATTCGCTTCGTTTGCCACCTTGAAATACGGCGCGAAGTCGAGGTAGCCCGTTTGCGGTTTGAGTTCGCCGGATGAACTCTGAGTGCAGGCAATTTTTCCGGATTTGCGTCGGCTTTCCACCGCACGGCCTAGTTTCAGTGCAGATGCTCGCTGAATCGAACTACGACAAAGCAATCTCCTTCGGTGAATCGCGGACAAATTTCCAGCGACGTGCATCTTATAAGTGGATTTTGGATAATTGAAAAAGCCTACGTGTCTAGAATTCGGTGAGATGAGCAAATTTATATATAAATGTTTTGCATTTCTTTTCACGAAGCTGCATTGTTCTAAGAAGCACTTATATATCAATATCTTATTTTGTTAATATATTTTTCCTTGATTTGATAGCAGATTTTTAGATATGAAGTCTTTTCTCTTTGCATATAAATTAAATAGCTATCTGTCACAACAATCATCTGTCTCAATCATCATACAATCACTATATATTTGTCGCGAGGTAAATGTTCACTTCAATTTCAGGTTCGACAATTATATAATACGATACACAGTATATCTTTATGAATAATATCATATAAATTCAGCTTTTTTACAAAAACACTAAATTTTTTAAATAGAGTTAGATTTTTGCTTCATAATTAAAAAGGTTAATTAAAAATAGTAATTAGCTTTGTTAAACTTAATAATTGTAAACAAAGAAGAGCTATAAAAGCTATTAAACGTAATACAGTTGACAGTTGATATTAATAAAATTCATTTAAACCAAATAATAAATACATAAGAAATAAACATTTTGCGAACGTTTCGGCTGACATTTCAAGCCTTCTTCAGCGCAATAAAAATATTTTAATTATAAATTGAATTGTAATATTAAACATTAAAGACGGTTATTAACAATGTCAAGATAATATATATATAAAGTCAGCTTTAGATCTCGTTACATATGTTGCTAAACAAGTCATCGTGTATGACAACCACCATTACTGATACACACTGAGTTCGAGCGACCGTATCACGCAATCACTTATGAGTATAGACTTCCTGATTTACTGGTCAAGGGAGATATCTTGATTAAATCTTCATGATGAAATGTTGTTAAGCATTAAATTGAGATTCAAACAAAATGGTGATTATTTTATAGAAGTTTCACATATCAGATCCGACATCTTTTTAAATGTTTTTAGTGAAGACAAAACAAAACGTCCAACCGTCACAACTCTCAGATATAAAAAAAAAAAATTATCTTGACATTGTTAATAACCGTCTTTAATGTTTAATATTACAATTCAATTATAATTAAAATATAATATTTTTATATTTTAATTATAATTAAAATATAGCTGAAGAAGGCTTGAAATGTCAGCCGAAACGTTCGCAAAATGTTTATTTCTTATGTATTTATTATTTGGTTCAAATAAATTTTATTAATATCAACTGTCAACTGTATTACGTTTAATAGCTCTTATAGCCCTTCTTTGTTTACAATTAAAAAGATTAAGTTTTTTGTAAAAATCCTGCAATATATACATATACATATACATAAATCAAATCTGATATATATGTATATTTTTTTTTATTTGACATTGCCTCGCAAATATGATGAACTCGCGCATTTATGTGGCTATAAACTTTCGCGCCTTTGAATTCCAGTAATAAAAAGCAATTATTCGCATCGATGCCACACGCGAGATGGACATCGTCATTAGGTTCAACAGCATTCTATTCGCGATTGATTCGCTCCTCAGAGGATGTGGCGATCGTTACTCGGCGAAATCCACGGAGGATCTACAAGGAAGATCCGGAATATTATATATTGTGGATGTTGTCTCGCGATCTACTCCGCTGCGGATCGATTGTTATCGAAGCGTGAGGATCGACGCGCGGTTTATCCTCTGTGATAATAATCCTATCAGGATTTGCGTCGTTTTTCGCAGATTTTCGTTTAACAGAAAAAACATCTCATGTTAACAACACGTCCTCGTTGCAGTCGCACATATCGGATGGATTTCTGTAGGGAGAAGAGAGCGCCGAGTCTTTCTTGCGGAAAGTCCTACCGATTTATCGAATTAATCGATTAATTCAGTAGTCAGTAACGAGAGACGAATTCGCGAAATGAATTACCCAGGTGTGGCTGAGCGATTGCGATTAGGGTCGCGTATTATACGGGATTATTAAATTGTTCATGTGGGATCGTGTTCTCTCTCGAAGATTTCGCACAACTATTTCGCCGTCAGGCCGTCCCGTAAATAATGTTCTTTCTTAAGTGAGGTTCTTCAAGGGAAAGAAGAGATGCACATTGTTTATTCTGATTGTTTAATTTAAATAGGAGAATTTATTCATTAATCAAGATTATAAGAGTTTATTTGCGATTGTTTATAATGTTCACTTGACAATTTTCAATGCTTATTGTAACAGTGAATACTTATAAATTATCGCTGCTAAGTTAAAGCTTGTATTTATTGTTAGCTCTATATCCAGTTCTTTTATTATCTCTGTATTAAAGAATTTGTATTACATGATGTCTTTTGTATAATTGGAATTTAGGTAGTTGAGATCAGACATACATTTATAAGGATCAACAATCAAAAGAAAAGTTAGACGTTTATTTAAGGATTATATAATTGGAAATTATTTTCAGAGAATAAAACACATTTTATCTTTATTGAGGCTATCATAATTTAATGATTTTAACAACGATTAAGAGAATTCTTAAAAAATGAAACTCTTAAGTGTATCAATTTCAGCAATGATACATGTACATGAATTTAATTATATGATTTTATAATAAGTATTATAATGAATTATATACAAGGCACACAATTATGAAAGTGTGAAAATATATACGTATCTATATTATATAAGTGCTAATCGTTAACATTAACGTTAACGTAAATTTTTCAATTTTTATTATGTTGTTTTAAATGTTTTAATATAATTTCAAATATACATAAATATATATTTAACTAAGATATTATTTGAATATTATGTTATAATTCAATGTTTATTGCATACATTATGCATCTATATATTTCACTATTTATTATTTTTGAACATTGTTTTTTATTAATATATTTTGCAAAAATATGTAATTTTATATAAAATCTCATTATTTACTGCACAATTTTTTCGAGAAAATTGTATATAACATTGTTTAATAATTCAACGAAAATACTTTTAATAGTTATTTATTAGTTATTTATTTTACACATGTATTGTCATTAGAATTATAGTAATATAAAAGCTAAAAAGATCAATAGGAAATCAGGAGATAGAGAGACAGAACATATCATCAAAAATTTAAAAACGAAAGGTACGGAGACATTAATTAATACAAAGTTAAAAGCAAATATTTTGCAATTTATTTAGATCGCTGCTTTAATTAGAAGAAAAGTTATGATGAATTTTCTTATTTCATTAATTACATCGATTTATTTTTTTTTTACATATTAAAAGTCAGATTATATAATTTAAAACGATAATTATGTATGAAAAGAGAAGAAGAAAACAGCAAAAGATATATACAATATATACACATATATATAATTTTTATTTTAATATTTCAGTTATAATAAAAATTATTATATATAATTTTTAATTTTTTATAGACTTAATTCTCTTTTTGTTATTAATATTCATAAGTTGCAGAAATTATTGCCACGTCACTATTTTTTCTAGTAAGATTTGTATACTTGCGTCTCTCCCTCTATACTTTCTCTTTTATATATTACATTTCAAAAATATTTCAGAATTAATAACACGATGTAAATATAGTTTTGTCATATATCTATTATAACATTTTTTAAAATATTGATTAACACGAAGTGAACATTATTGGCAAGACGATTTGACGTGACATAGTCAAGATGTGA